CTCATCGAGAACCAGATTAAGTGTTCCGATCATCATTGCCAACTACTACTACCAGTATCACTACTAGTTCCGTGCTACTACTACTACCACCACCACTACCACCACCACCACCACCACCACCAGCAGTACCAGTAGAAGTACCAGTACCAGTACCAGTACCAGTACCAGTCAGTACCACCACCACCAGTACCAGTACCAGTACCAGTACCAGTACCAGTACCAGTACCACCACCAGTACCACCACCAGTACCACCACCACCACAACCGCCGCCGCCGCCGCCGCCAGCGCCAGCGCCAGCAGCAGCAGCAGCCACAGCCACAGCCACAGCCGGCACAGCCGGCACAGCCACAGCCACTGGCACGATGACCACGAGGACGACAACGACGACGCCGCTAAGGACGCTGACGACGTTGACGATGCTGCTGCTGCTGCTGCTGCTGCTGCTGCTACTGCTGCTTTCCAGCGTGAACGCTCTGCTCTGTGGGCCCATGCCCATGCATAATATTACAGTAGTGACTCTTAGAGCTGTTGCTACTATTACTATTACTTATTACTATTATCATCTATGATTCCAATGCCTACAAACCTAAAACACTTGGCACTGGGCATGGCCAGACCTAGACGTTTAAACTCATCGCGAGCCGTGTGGCAAAGGCTGGAAGCTGATCGTCATCCTTATCGATCTACGGTTGACATGCGTGCAAGCTTCTCAACATGATGTACAGAACTGCCTAAACTGAGAACCAAGGAGAGGCTTGCCGCGCTCACTTCAAGGAGTTTCTCACTTCGGAAACTTCGGCAGCCGTAAACACGGGTGGAGGCAGATCGTATCAAGAGCCGATGTCATCATTGGAGCCGGTGGCGGGACAGTAACAGCAATAATTAGCCACGACACTACGCGAGGTTTCTGTTAACAGTAGAAGTACCAGAGGTAATACTTGTAGGACATGTACGCCGTCTTTGTGTTCTCCTGAAGCCAGGAGAACGGTTGAAGACTACAAGTTAGGAGTAGCAGCACGCGTGGTAGCGGCGTTGGTGAAAGAGTTGCTAGACTGCCTGCAATAAAAGCGGCACCTTCAGCAAAAGCAGCACCTTTCGTTATCAAATGTACCTGGCCTGCCCTCCCTGCCAGCCTGGCAGCTACTGCGGGGCCATAAGACCTACATAGCAAAATCTCAGTTGCTTTGCGCTGTAACAACTGCAACCATCTGCATGACTTTGGAGGCGACATGTTCTTGGGTCCGGAATGTCAGTTCAACAGTGAGATTTTGATCTTGCATCTGATGTGTTTGCATCCAGTGGCAGAGCCATCCAGTTCACATATCCACCGTAGACAGACAGAACTTGATGGGGCCACAAGTTTGCGTTGGAGAAACCATTCAGGTGACACAATGTGTCTGAAACGCTAACAGGGCTTTCTGCCATAAAGTCCTGTCAGCATTATCAGAAAATGACTGCGCGTGATGCAAGAAAAACTGCAGCGTGTCGCGGTGCATGTATGGTCAGCCCGAGCCGGGTGAAATGATGAGGAATGTTTTGTTCTTTATTGGACCTTTTCTCCACTTGAAATATCCAAGCACAAGATGCTCTTAGAGCACGGCCCATCCCAACCCTTTAGTCAGGTCAAGCAAAACAGAAAAGACATCCACTTACGAGGGGACTTCTCTACCGAAAGCAAAACGGTCCAGGGCAGCATCACTGGGACAAGAGGGATGTTTGAAGTCTTGGGTTTGGAATGTGATCCGATCTGATATCCTCTCCAAGACAAGATGCCGCAGGTCCATGCACCACACTGCCATCGACATTCTGCCGCCCATCCTCAAGCCTGCAGGCATGCATCCAAAACTGAAAACAAAAGGATTGCATAGCTGGCACAACGCGTTTTTGCAAAACATGCGATGATAACCTTGCATGCTGACATTGTCAACAAAGGAGTCGCTGGGCGCGCCGGCTAGCACGAAAGCTACGAACCTCAGTTTGAAGCCAGGCCCGCCCAAACCTCCTGGTCGCAATTCACAAGACAGAAGCTGCCAAGCCACAACCAATGGAGGCTCAAGAACAGAATCCGCCAATGACTTGGTGCTGGCTGATACTTGCCAGTTGCAACGGTGCGATAAACCACATAAGCCTCAGTAGTCCCGCCAACACCCAAACACGTGAATCGTCAAAACCCTCATCCCTCGAAGCAAAACGACTCCCCTGACCTTTGCTAGCAGAGCATGATGTTTACACGTGTGTTTGAATCAAGTTTTGCCAGAAAGGCAGTCAAGTCACTTAGAAGCCAATGCTACTTACTGCAACCCCAATTGTTGTCAATGGTAGGCAACAAGACTGGGTGAAACACATTGTTGCCAAGCAGCTGCCAGAAAAGTCCCCAGGCGACACAACTGCATCGTGCCGGGGTTATCCATTGCATCATACAAAAAGAATGCGAAGTTCATCATAATCACGTGCACCCAGCATTTAGCGATGAGGCGGAAGTTCTTCAGCCGAACCTCTGCAGACAGTGTCGATCGATGTCCACCCTATGCGCTCAACACAAAACTAGAGTGCGGCAGGCTATAATGTCTGCTGAATGTTTCAACATGCTCCTAAGCTTAGGGCACTAAGCTCGAATGCGTCAGCTGCACTAGCTGCACAAGCCCACGGCCTCCGATAGAGCTTCGGCAACACGCTGCTTGGATGGCTCCTCTGTGCCCTGGCAATCTTTCGTGGCTCTGATCGATGAATGCGAATCCTAGTTACGTCTCCGATGGGGGTGGTTGCGATTTGCAGTCCAAGTATTTACTCAACAATCATCACAGGCAAAGTTCTGCAAGAAGTTTGCAGTGGACTTTCAGGCAACATCTGTAACAACAGCTCATGTCAAGGCATGACTGAGTTTGTGAAGGTCCGAATAGCAAAGCCCGTTCCCTCCTGTGAGTCATCCCACAGCTGATGAAGCCTGGGCTGCAAGCTCACAACTGCATCAAAGACGCAAACATACCACAAAGATTGAAGATGCCGATCTCCTGTTGCTGCAGTGCGTATATGCACAAAACTGTGACATCTATCTTGTTGGAAGTGCAGCCGTGCGTCCAAGAAATTGTCGACGTCAGCTCCGCTCCAGTTTGCCGGATTGTCCAGAAATGTGCAGTTAGAACAACAAGGCAGACTGGTGCAAACCTGCATGCAATAGCAGACTCTGGGCCGTGTACCCTCTGCAGCATGGCCAGGACAACATGGTGCTATAGAATTGACATGGCACAGCAACCTGTGCGTCGTGCAGACTGACTTTGCTTGTCTGAACATAGCGCTCATAGCACTTCCGAACTCGGGTGCGCCTTGCGCATGTCTCGCTCCACATGGAGATGGGACCCGCTGGCTGCAGATGGCCACTGCTATGTGGCACCCAGCTGGAACTAACAGATTACGCTTTTGTGAGAGATGTTGGTGGCCCTACGGTATCTCTGGCTGTTTATCTGGACAGCTCCCTACACACGTCTCAGGCTGCTCTGAGCCTCAGCCAGCAGAGGCAGATTGAATCAAAGGCAGACAGATCCCACCCCCTTCTGCAAGTGGACTGTGGGTACATCATGCTGACCCGTCAACCCCGGCCCCGGCCCTCTTCACTTGGATTACACGAAAGCACCCGAAGATCCACCTGAGAAGTGTTCGCTTGCATGGCGCCGGGGCCAGCTTGAGAGAATCGCCCATCGCTGGCTCATCGGTACCGGCGCTGCAGATCTTCAGTGATCCAGTCTGCCTTAGACTTAGTTAAGCCATGCCGGCCTACGAAACTCAGCATTCACAAGCTGGAGTCTGGTGCTCTTGGGATCTTGCGTTCTCCTCGTCATTGTCAAAGTGTAAGAAGTAATCAGGAAGCCAAATGCCTCAGAGCCAACACTTCCACGATGGACGATGGATGCTCCAATCTCTGTCGCATTTGAGGTCCGGGGGGGGATGGGGCGGCTGCCACGCACTTGTGCAAGTACAGTCAGAATGGTTCTGCCACAGCTGAAATGACTAAGCATGAAGTAACACTGCCAGGGCACCGTTTTGCCACTGGTCACGCTGCAGAATTTCCAGCTTATCCTGGGACCAGTCTGCGCAGAACTCTAATCACAACGTTCTGCTTCGTGCACTGAAGCTCCAGAGTCTAGAGGGGAACTACTTGCATCCCACATTAGGATTAAGGACAAGCCGCAGAGCTTGATGGTCGACAATCACTTCTTCTATAAGCAATACAAGCACTGCGGAAATGCCAAAGCATGATGATGCCACCTCTTTCCTTCGGCGAACGCAGCGCACAGGGGCCACGGGCACCTAGGTGGCACTTTGCTTTTCTCAACTGCCTATCGGCGCAAACGACTTTGAACAAAAAAAATCACGGCCTTTGGCGAGCCACGCAAAAACGGACAGTGCCAGGAATTACTTGTAGCAGCAAAAAGGTTTGCAGCTGCAGGAGGGTGATGGTGACCGACACTTCATCACCTGATATGTGAAATAAGCATGGCTCTACCATGGGTCCTGAACGCATGAAGCCCACCTTCAGGCTTCTTTGGCAATGGTCATCTTAACTTCTAAGGCCACCCCTGTTGAGTGTAAATCCTGTGGTGAGGCCAGCCACATATTTGGTTTGCCGATTTTGCGCGCAAGCCGGATCAAACCAACTGCGCATCATGCGCATCCAACGTTTGGATTGCTCATGGCCAATGCCAGGAAAATCAAGCCGTAAACCTTATCATGCACTCGAAAGAACTCATATGCCTGAAAATCACTATTAGGAGAAAGGTGATTGGTTTCTCCTTCTCCCCAAGGCAAAGTGGCTGGGCCGCGCCGCCGTCCTGGCCCTGGGCGTCTATTTGCCAGGCGCTGACTGAAGATCCTGAGCTATTGCTCGTAGGTTTAGCCAGGGGCGCATGGCTTGTATCCAGGAAATCTTGGAATTGAAGATCACGATTTCACTCATAGGTTTTAGAAGGAAGCCATGAAGTCAGATTTTGTTGTGCTGGCTTGCCAAAGTCTCAACTCCTTTGACGATCGGGAAGTCTGAAACAGCTTCTCTAGTAGAGAACCCAGGATCTGGAGGTTCAGTGCTTCCTCGTGCAGCACAGATCTGCAGAAGTCACCGTCATCGGTCAAGGGGTGGGTCCTCAGCGCCGTACGATAAGTATAGAACCATGTGGCCAGCCCCTTCTTGTTCGGCAGTTTTTGAAGATAGAAGTGCCTTACCTACATAACGCCAGCGAGAGTCTGCACACTGTCGCATTCCATGACCACGTGCGCGTGGCCAAGTTGACCAGAAAATGCCTGGCCTTGCGAGCCAATTTTGCTGAAGACCGCTGGTTGTGCGCAAAACGCAGGTTAGCACCAACACGCCGCCCAGCCGCACCAGCGCTTCAACGAACGGCCCGTTCGGAAAGAATGAATGTCGAACTCTCCTGCATACCTGTGCATGAGAAGGGGAGGGTGCTGTGTAGAAATTTCTTGTGGCACTAAGATATCATGAATGTCCTCATAACATGCTGGCGAAAGCTGAGCTATGGGCCATTGACAAAAGGCCCGCAATGCCTTTGTTTCAGCCGTGGCAAAGGTTGCGTTCTCCCAGAAAGCCGTGTCCACAAGCCAGACCTGGTCAACGCGAAGCCTGCCAGGCTCTAGCAGAAGCAAGGCTTCTTGGCTCATTCAAAGCATTGATGTCGAAAAAGTGTTTTTTGTTTGCTACTGCACTCAGCTTATACGTTGCCATGCTCCACGTTTGTGCTGATGTCATCAGTCATGTGTTATTAGCCCACTGCCACCAAACCCTGGGCTCTGCTGCGGTGGCGGAGTCACGGGGAGCAGGCCTGGCGTTGGTGACCAGTTGATCTAACAGCTCCCAGTCGAAGTAGAGGCATCCGCACCCCAAGGAGCAGTACCTTAAAATATTTGCCAGACCAAATTTCAAAAACCCTCCTGCCAACTGCCAACCTAGGTTGCTCGTGCTTGTACTGACAAGGTACACCAAACCTTCATCGTGCCTGCTTTTTACCTGCCAGAAATGCTCTTCGATCTGCTTGGCGCAGAAGTTCACAAAGTCCGATCGTACGCCTTCGCTTCCACCGCGGAAGCGGTACAGCGCACCTGATTTGAGAGAACAACGCAGCCATGTTGCTAGCACTGCTACGACTGCTTCAGACGTCTCACTAGCCGTAACTTTTGAACGAACTGATGCAATGCTCTCATCTCGACAGGAAGGGTGCCTATGATTCCTGAAAGGAGCCTGCAAAGCTCTGATGCTTTTCATTGTAACCAAGAGCATAACGAAGTCTTCAAGTGAAAGCGGCAGGCGCTGCGAACTTCTTTGTTTTTGCATGCGCAAGAAGTCCCATGCAAAGCTTCACGCAGTCTCAAAGAAGGTTCGCGCACGCCTGCTGCAATTGGCTAAGGCTGGGCTGGAACAAGCACGTTGGAACCTCAAGGAATTACGTACCACAACGGGCACACTTGAACCTGAAGGAAACACAGCACGCCGCTCGCAAGCAAACATTGCCAAAGGCAGAAACCAGAAACAGAAGACTACACGCACGCTCCTGCAAGTCCTGCAGGCTGTACCTATGACACGGGCATGGGCTGGGGCGTTCACACAAGAGTTGTCAGGCAATCCACAGCTGCCTGGTTAAATTCATGACTAAAATGCTGCGAAAACCTGTTTGACAAGAAGTCTTCGCCAAATTCTTGGCTGGGCACAGTCCGTGTCGCCACACTCGCCCAGCTCGCAGAGGGGATTGCGAGAGCCTTGCTCATGCATGATCTTTTCTTCTGCTGCTTCAACAAGAACAAACTTGAACACCAGGTTCTCTCGGGGCTTAGAGGCTTACCTTCGCACCTCGTCCTAGGGAAGCAGGCGGTCGCACATACCAGTCTCGCCTCGACATGTTCCAGCGGCCTTGCTCCTTCAACGGTGCAGGTCTGCAGAGAAATTTCGCATTTGCGACTGAGCCATCCTGCATGGCCCATCGGACACGCTTGCGTCTTGTCCTTGACAGGGGCACAGCCTCAGAGTCGAAGCAACTGCTCGGCAGCTCAGCGAACAAGTGCTCGCACAATCTATCCCGCGAGCAGCAAGCACATGCTAAAGCCTTTCAATCGTGTCGTGAGGTCAGGCCGTTCACGTCCTAGACCTCTTGACTGTAAACTGCTTAATGGCGCATGTCGTCCATGTTCCAGCTGCGCCTTCACCTGGTGCTCCCGGCCAGCCAGGCGCAGGCAGAGCCTTGCGCGGGGCCCTGAGCGCGGGAGGCCCAGGACCTGCAGTCGCTGGCGAAGAGTTCGGACCTGAGTCGTGGCAACTCGACTTGCTTGTGCTTGCTCGCGCCTCTGTGGAGGGGCTTTACGCATTCGGGTCTAGCTTTGGGCTACTTCAGCCTACATTGACGAGATGCCGTCAGGTTGTGCAAGTGCTTTGCATTGTCCAGACCAGGTCGCCTGCCGTGCACTGGAAGTACGCCGAGCTGGGAGTGCTTTCCTACTTAGCATATCTTAGCATCTGCGGCCGGCATCTGCAATCACTAGTCACTAGTCGCGAGCACTTCTGCGCAGCTGTGCAAACAGACTACTCCACCTAAAGGGGAATCATGCAGAACCCTGCGATTCGTTGGCGCATCCGATCATGGTTTGAGGAAGCTCCCCTGCCTTGGTGATGCGAAGGCGAGGGCTAGCCACAGGCCGGCGACAGCCTTGCACTGCTTTTCTTGGCTTCAAACATCTCAGGCAGCCTTCGTGGCTCCGTGAGCAAGGCGACAGCCTTGCAAGGGCACAAGCCCACATAGTTGGAAAAGCGCACCATCAACATATCAACATGGCAGAGCATGGCAGCTTGCGCTAAGCTTAGTTTGAACCGTACCTGACACCGACACCAGCTGTTGAATCTCGAGCGGCGGGGCATGCCAGCAGCAAGCGCCCACGATGGCTTGCCATACCATGAAGGAGCCATCTGAATTACGCAGGGTCATGCCTGCTCGCTTATTGTAGACACATTCTTGGGGGTAAGGCTGTGTCAATTTGGAAGTTGCAGATGTATGATGGTACTGCGGAGTAGCTGCGGCAGCTCACAACAGCTCACAGTCCGAATCTTGGCTGTGTGTACAGCTTCAGCTGGGCGGAGGCATGCGGCCAAGTAGCAAGCTCATGCAATCCGCGACTGACATCTGACGCTCTATTACGGTCTATAACTCAACTCCAAATGTAAACAAACTCAGCGAACAAGGCCTTATGCTGTGCGGTGCGATTTTGCCAACAAGTTGTTAGCTTGGTGCGTAACAGGATTGAGATGGTCTGCATCCAGAAATAATAGTGATCGTATTAACGTAATACAAAAAGCAGTCATAATAGTATTGCTCATATGTTCTGGAAGCCTACTTGTAGAATTGCGCTGCAGGTGGTTGTTGGTCCGGTGTTCTGACCCAACACAAGCAGTGGTGATGCTTTAGTGGGCCTCGATACCCCTTGACCCCCGTGTACCCTTCCTAAAGGCTACTGAGACGTACGCCAGGAGTCTATGCAAGCCATGAGTTTACAATTTTTCTCTCCTCGCTGTGACGGCGTCGAAGTGCCTGGTGAGGCAGCTGAGCAGGTCTCGGCCCGCGTCTTCGAAGATGTGCCACCACCTGGCCAGCACTTTGACCAAGGGGTTGGAGAACCTGTTTTAGGGCTTTAGTGAGGCTGTACCAGCTATACTGCCGGGCATGTGTTCATTCAAGCACCAGCTAACTGAGACAGCAGCTATTTCCTGTTGCAGGAGTGCACGAATGGAACATCGCTCAAGGAACCACCCTGACTACCTCTCGCCGCGACTTTGTGTTGTCACTAGTTTCAGGGCTCAACTGCTGGTCAGCATGGGCAGGAAACTATGAGGATGAGGGTCTTGCATTCGCAGAGGCTTGATTTCAGTTATTTGACTTGCACAGCAATGACCCCATGCCTTTCTTTCACGAAGCCATCCAGGTCTGTGGCAAAAGCTTCAAGGTCTGGCATGACACCTTTGTCAGAGATGCTCTTCTCTATAGCCTTTCCTCCAGAACATCGCATTACCCCTGACAAACTTGCGCTCAAATTGGCATCTGCGCCTCTGATATCTGTATGATAAAGAGGCTTGCGCACATCTGAACTACGGCTTGGAGTTTGGCCAAGACTCCCTCTCGAATCCGTGGGATGCACTTCACGAGGACATTCTGGCGATCTTCAGCCGGAAAGAGCGCAAGCCAAAGAGCATGATGAATGACGAGCACCTACCAGGGACACACGCAAGCGATTACGGTATCAAGTCCTTTGAGCGTTCCAAACATGCTGACAGGCAAATGGCTCCGAGGCACCGTGGTCGGGGTGCCCCGCTTGTAAGGCAACGCGTTGAAGCCTCGCACTGTCGATGCTCAACAGCTGCAGGCATGACGCAAGCCATCAAAAAAAGAAATGCTTTACGTCTTCGGTCCGCTCTTAGCCCTTGCATCCTTCTGAAGAGTCTGACAGTCCGAAAGGGCAGCCCAATGACTCACAACCGCTGGGATCCCAACTCAGCCATGCCAGGCTAGCAATGGCGTTTTGGAGCTCCTCTCAAGAACCAAGACAAGCAGACTTGTCAAGAATGTACTGCATTGATTATAGAACATTTCAAACCAGGGTATAGCCACAGTTGCCCCAAACCTCCAACCCAACTTCCACCACTCTTCCACCTACATCCCATCATAAAGAGCACTCCAACCAGGTGAACGCGGTGGCCGGAGGCGACAGCTCAGAGGGCATCAAACAACTCTGATCTGCCTTGGATCATCGTAGGCAGGCGTAGGTAGGGGCCTTATTCTAACAGCCTCAACTCAACAAGTGGAACAAATGATGTAGACAAGCCTTTGGGGAACCTGTCTACTCTTTCAGCTACCAAAATTGCAAAAGGGCACTGGAGCCGTTGGGCTGTACCATGGCAGGAGGAAACCTTGCCAGAAGCATAACCTTGTATTTGGGATGCATGGGCACCATGCCCAAGACTCCATGGGTTGATGAGACTTTGTAAGATTGTCCCTTCATTACTCTTACATGGTTTACATATAGTCATAGTAGCATGTATCCCAAACCGTGTTCTCGTGTTTCAGGCCGCTAGACGGTGTAACTTCCAGTTTCTGGTGCTGGCCTTCTTGCGGCAATGTCAATGCCGAAGCCATCAGAATAGAGCTTGGAATGTAATCCAGGCTTGGGGCGTTTCGATCCAAGTTCGGAGACCAGGAGAGTTAGTTCGTCCGCCCACTACCCCGTGTCAGGAGCGGGTCTGGGTCAGATCTTTTCCATTTTTGTGGGGTTTGCTAGGCCGCTCCCCTCTACCTTGCCAAGACGGTCTCGCGATCGCGATGAAATTATGTTATACGATACACAAAGCAACTATTATAAGTTATAAGGGCCACTTAGCGAAATCATTCCTAGTTTCTCTCAGGCTTGCAGGTTAAGGCAGTGTTGCATGCTGAGAGTGCAGGCTTCCGGCCGTATGCATTACGCTCAAGATCAACCAGGCCGTTCTTCAATGTGGTACCCTAGACAGTTTTGGTACCGTCCAGTCGGCAAATTGTGGTGGATGGGATAGACCAGGACTTCTGCAGGGAAATTTCTGAATTGACTCCTTTGCTGGATGTGAGATTAGCCAAAGCACGAGGGATTCGGCGGCTTCGTGATATTGCCTAAGCTCCACCTTAGCAGGGCAAACGTCAAGCTCACATGAAATCACGGCATGCGCCAATGACTCGCCACGCCCGGCCTGAGTCATTCTCTCAACTGCCATCTCGGTGGCCAGCACAGATGCATGCAAGATGACGCCCCACATCCTGCACAAAATCGCACACATGGACCTCGCATCAAGTCCAACAGTAAAAGAACATGTTCATGGCTTGTTGCATTACGGCCTGTCGAAGTGAGGAGCTGACTCTTGGCCATACCAAGACAAGCAATCCTTCAAATGAGTCAATGGTTCTGGATTTAGTCTAGCGAAAGAAATCTGTTACGCGCAGCTTCAACTTTGATGATTTCAACGCCACCCAGGTCCCAACCCAGGAGCAATCCATCCAGGGCCGCCCGCACTGTGCGAGTGAGAACGAGAAGGCAGTGCTCGCCCAAATACACACCCGCGAGCCTGGCACTACAATCGGCAACTGATGGCATCAGGCCTGTCGACCCGTAGCAATGCTGCAAACCTGCCTTTCCTTGACCGTATCGTTGTGTCCTGGACTAGCCAAGTTGATGCCGAGTCTGTCCAGCACTGTCCTGCATGCAAACGACACACAGTACATCAAATCCATAGTGCCAGGAGCTCTTGAAGCTCAAAGCACTCCAGGAGCCTGCAAATGCTGGCGTTGATTTGCAAAGAGGTCACCGTTGCGCTGCAATGCCTCAGGGAGTACGTCAAGCCGCTGTCCATGGTTTGCAGGGCATTTCTCGCCGTTCTATTGTCGGCCTTGTTGAGCAGAAGCTCCAAGCTTTACTTATACTGCCCTTGCTCTTTCTTGGGTGGCGCGCTTAGCCAAAGCTCTCAGCATAGACTCCTCGTGCGCGCACTCGGCGATGGCTCTGTGAACGGCCGCGCTGGCAGCAAACGAGCGTATCGACGCAAAGGCGACGCAGAGGAACCTACCAGCATGGCCGTGAGTTGGCAGTTGCTGCACTTCAGCACATTTCAGCACTGATATTCCCGTCCATGCGCTGAAAGCAGTCACACTGCGCAACAACAAACGGTTAGACTGCAAGTCCGCTTGTCTAGGCTGGATTCCGTCCTCAACTTGATCCGAGAGGCCGACTTCTGGATCCTCATAGCACAAACGTGAGCGACAAAGGCACGGCAGAAGTTGCAAACTTCTGTACTTGCCAGACGAAAGCACTGCTGAACTCTCCAGCGCTCCTGATACACACGGCGGATTCCAATCTTTGACTGGTCTTCGGAGGTAACACTCCTTTCCAGCATGTCCCATGGAGGGAAGATTGTCCCAAGAACCCATCTTCTACATTGAGCCCTGGCATGGGACTGAAGGTTGGTGAGATACGCAAGCGAGTCGACGCTGACTTCAGTCCCTCAGCTTTCTGACAGTGTAAAAACCGACTGATCAGGCCAAGCGTCCGCAGCTCCCCCGCATGATTCAGGAGTTGTGACATTGTCAATGGCTTTGCCTGGAGACTGATGATCTCAGCCAGCCGCAGTGAGGCGGAGGACATGCGCTGTCCAAAATTCATCTGCCAAGGGCGGATGCGGGGTCACAAAATTTGATGGGTATTCCTATCCTGTTCATAAGTTAGTTGGGGGAGCTGCCTGTGACAAGAACTCTCGTCAGCTGTTCAGTACATCTGACTAGCTGCCACTGTCTATGACGTGTCGTGCAGATGGTTTCGGCTTGTCGCATGCCGGCCTGGCTTGCCACTTGCGCATCTCTCTGGTGAATGGTTGGCACCCGTATTAGGAAGCGCGACCACCTGTCAGAGTTCAATGCATTCTCTTGGCATTAGTTGCACCTGCTCTTCAACTGCACATGCAAGTGCCTGAGCTGCTGACGCCTCATCCTTCCCGCGGGTCTCCAAAGCACGAAGGTGCGCTGAGTGTATGTTGGGATCATGGGAACCGAACCCGCCGTCACTTCCATCCTGGGGTCGATGGGCTACTGTGGCGGCAGAGCTATGAATCGTAGCTTCAGCATACCTTGCTTTGATGTCTCTCAGCCACTTAGCTAGCGCGGCTAGGTGGCGGAAGATGCTTCTTCTCCAGACAGCTCTGCTGCGAAGAGTCGGCGGATATGCGCTCCTGAGTTTCAAGAACTTTTGCGTTTCGCCATTGTTCAAACACAAGTCGGCTCCAGCTGCCCCAACCGAAGTCCAAGAGGCCATGAAGCAAGCCACAGTCACAGGCTTCTTCCTCCTGATGCAAGCTGCTGCAGAAATGCTCTGTACAGAAGAGCCGCTTGAAAGCCTGGTCCATGGGTTCCAATTTGTTCACCAGATGGTCGAAACCCAACGGTCTTGACAGAGGATGAGAAGCCACGACACTTCAAGGCTGTAGCTTCTTCCCTGCCAACATGATGGGGCAGCCGCAGCGCCTCCCAGTCCCTCCAGCCACACATGGGGCTCCAACCCGCCACCAGTTTCCTTGGTTGACAGCAGTTTTGCCCTACGTCATCTTGAACAGCAACTATAGTGACACAGGTCTATCCTAGCAGCCTCTGAACAGCAGCGGCAGGCTACGGTCAGCAGCACTGAGCTGTTTCTGGGCTTGTCCAAGCTCAATGCAAGCAACTGCCCCTGCGTGTGCCACCAGTCGCAAATGACTCGCTGCACAACAGTGCCCGCAAATTGCGCATAGCCTCACGCCAGTCTCGGGGCGCAGCGTTGAGTTCGTATCTTACTGCCTTCCGGGGCTCTTGGGCCTACAACCGATGCAGCCATCTCTCACACTTTGTCCACCCGCAAAGCCTCGCTGGCTTGAGGGCATACCCTCCATGGCTGCCACGATGGACTGCCACCAGGGCGACAAGCCCTTCGGCTTCGCGGTGATGAGTCCGTCTTTGGGACCTTGGTCGTCAGGTCCTCATGGCCTTGCAGATGGTTGCATGACTCTTGTGTTGCTGCCAGAAGTGCTCAGCTTCTCCCATGTCTGGCATATTTGGAGGAGGAGTCGGAGGTCTACCTGATGCAGGGCATGCTCATTGAGATCTGCTAGTGCAAAGATGGCCTGGTCCGCCGCGTTTGACGCAGAGAACTTGAAGAGCAGGATTCGCTGCCAGCTGCCTTTATACTCACATTCCTGGCTTCCTGTAGCTTGGAATGTTGAGCTGGGTTGCGCAGGCATACTGTTCCATCAGGATTTTGGGAAAACCCGCTGAAGAGCTGTTCGGCCATTCGCTATTGCATGCTCGGAAGTGATGTGCACTCAAAGGCATCTTCTGCAAATTTGCCAGCTTCGACACAGCCCACCTCAAGCTGAGATGATTTGTGGCGTCACGTCAGCCCCAAAGAGTTGGGAACCACCAGTCTGCACAGTGCATCCCGCAACCCGTCTACAGGCCCTCTTCAACACTGCAAAGCAACGATCACAATACACAGCTGCCGCAGCAGCACTGTCAAGTGTCACCATACCCTTACAAATGAGCCATCCGGATCATGAACCCTCCACCAACACAGCTGCAGCTGGTGCACATCCTGGAGGCCACAAGCTTGCTGCAGGAACAGTAGCAGATTGTTCCACGAAGCCAGGCCTTGCGTGCATCGAGTGAAGATCTCATTAAACAAGGCCAAACTCGAGAATTTCACAGAAGGCCCAGCACATTGACATGACGCTGCATGGCATCATGCAAGAACCCTGGATGACCGTGGCTCGGGCCTGAGCACATGCTCGCAGCAAAGCTTGCCATCGCCAAGGTCCTCAGATTCACTCTGGATCATTTCGGTATTCACCCCTGCGCCTATGGAGGTAGCATTCTGATTCAGCTTTACCAAGGCAAGTGCTCAGGATGGGATCAAATCTGAGTTGACGCAGTTTGAACGCAGCAGAATTGCACCTTGCTGTGCATTTTTTGGCGGTGAGCCCTTTGCTTGGATACATGGAGCCGTCTGACCAGAACCTTCTGAATCACAAATGCGCTGCCAAGACTCGACATGCTCTGGCACAGTTGGTTCCTCCACACCAGCTGTCAGACCAGAGCCTCCTGTAAGCTGCTCATGTCATTTTGCAATGCAAATGCATGTGGCACAGTGATCGGAGTCACCGCTTTTCACCCAAACCTCAGCCCATGCCATGTCACCTCGTACGGCAGTCAGGGCAGCCACTGCTGCCAGACCATGTACAGTGGAAGTAAGCGACATACTTGTAGCATGGACTTGGATCAAATGTCCACCTGCGAGAGGCCACTTCAAATGTTGTCTGCTGTTGGGCTGGCAACATTGTCTGCAAATTAAATGCAGCAAGACCAACAAGATGCATAACATAGAACTCTTCTCTCACGGCACCTCATCTTAGAGCCAAATCCCTAGCTGATGCCGCAACAGGTTGTTTCGCTGAGGATGCTAAACATGAGTGACATGTATGCCGTGCTGTGTCAACATCCTCTCCCCAACAACAGGCGCTCCTTTGAGCAGACGCGCGGCGCGCGATTGACAGCCGCTTTCAAGATGGCGGAGTCTGCAAAAGCACATCTAAAACATCTGGCACCGGCGCGCGCAAATGGCGCAGCTGGGGTGGCCAACGCACACAGGCCCCAGCCCCGGCAAACATCAAGGCTCACGCCTTAAACACTTTGTCTTCAAACCTGTGACAACACGTTGGATCCGAGCGCGCTGCTCTGGTAGTGACACAATAGCCGTTCGGCTTTGAACTTCTACCCTGCAGTGGACGCCAAGAGAGGCCATGGAACCTGCCAGGCTACGCAGCATGCACTGTTTTCAACTCCAACTATCCATCTGAGATCATGGAAGATGACTTGTGCCTAGCTTGGATTTGTAAGATCTTGAATCATAGGCCAGGTCTTGACTGCCTCACTGCGCGCCAACTCCAGCTGTGCTGAGCCTGAGCTTCCAATTTGCTGTTTAGCTGGCCGGCGCGTGCAACTGCAAGCAACTTCTTCGGCGTCTAGGTGTCCAGCAGGGGATGCTGAGACAACCCGCTCAATTCGTGTAAAGGTGTCTGAAGTGTAATATATGTAGCTCCGTGGACGGTAAACGGAGCGTTCTCAACGTGAAAATCTCCGTGTCTACGAAAATTGTTGGGTGTGACTGCAGTAAGTGCGGAACCTCTCAATGTAGCTGTCGTCCCTCCAGGCAGAGGTCACTGTTTTCAGCTGCGTGAAGAAGTTGACGCCCGCCTCCACAACCACTAATTTTGCAAGACTCCATGGGTCTTGACCCATTAACAGCCAGGGGTGGGGCAAAACGGCGTACGCTTGATGTGACATGAGGGGAACAGGACGTTCACCAGCTTAGGTCAGAAAGCTTCGCAGGGCATGATCGGAAAGTAAGGATCGAAAGCTGCAATTGCGCGAGGATGCTCGTTGCTGCCGCTGCCTTGCCATAGAAGTTCAAATCTCCCAGGATGGACTTCTTGTTGCCCGTGAAGGAGAACATAGGCAGCGGCACCTTGTCACTCGTGCCATGCAGAACCAACAGTACAGCTCAGGACTACTTGGGGGGGGGCATCGGCCATTGTCCAAATTGCCAACAGGATGTGCTTTGGCTGATTCTTACAGATGCCCTTTCTCGCGACAGGATCATGAAACCAACTCGCCCCGGACGGCCGCATGTCTGCCAAGAAGCCGGAATGGGAACGTTGACGCCAACCTGGTGTTGTGATCAGTAGTGTGAAACATGGAGAAATGCCAAACAAGAGGGAACTGCTCTCGCTGCAGCAGCGACTTTCCGTGCAGTTTGCGTGTATTTGCGTGTTATGTTTCTTGAACCCAACGCCTATGATTCCGCGTTATGCGCTTGCACCCGCCTGTCCCGCTTCAATTTCATCGGTGAACTTGCGCGCTGCCGCGCCGCTGCGGGTGAAGATGGCAGTGCCATTGCCGTAGGGGTTCCTTCAAGGAGAGAACGAAAGGTCGAAGGTAAGTTGAGCTGTTGCAAATAGCACAACAGGGCTGGAGACTGTTCTGTTCAACGTTGTTCAACAATGCTGGAAGCCTCTCTCAAATAGGCTTGCAAATGGGGGGACATCTTGCCGTCGTGATTAGCCAAGGGGCTCGTTCACGAACCGGATGGCCTCATCAAACGAGTCGACCTCGACGCAGCACAGCACGGGGCCAAAGATTTCGTTGTCGTAAATCTGCATGCCCTTCTTCACCTCGGCAAAGATGCTGGGCCCAACAAAGTAGCCGCCCTTGTTGACGTCTGGGAGGGAGGGCTTTCGTCCGTCCAGCAATAGTCGCGCACCCTCATCCATGCCAGACTGGATGAGTTGCTCCACACGTTGCTGGGCTTGCGCTGAGATCAGAGGCCCAACATCAGTGGAACCATCATCTCCCGGCCCAACGCGGAGCTTAGCTGCTTGTTCCGCAATCTTTGGGATCCACTCCTTTGAAGTACCCACGAACACAGCCACACTGGTGGCCATACACCTTTGGCCGGCTGCTCCACAAGATGCGCCTACCAGTTGGTTCACAACGCTCTCAGGATCTGCATCAGGCAGCACGATTGCATGGTTCTTAGCTCCCAAGTTGCACTGGGCTCGCTTTCCGTTCTTGCCTGCACGCTCGTAGATGTGGGCTCCTGCTGCATTGCCACCCACGAAAGAGACAGCCCTTACGTGGGCATTGTCGCACAAAAAGTTCACGGTGTCATGGCCACCATGAACCACGTTCAAGACGCCTGGTGGCAACCCGCATTCATTGGCCATCTCAGCCAGCATAACAGCTGAAAGAGGCACTCTTTCTGATGGTTTCAATAGAAATGTGTTGCCAGCTGTTGTTGCTGGCGGAAACATCCACAGAGGAATCATCGCGGGAAAGTTGAAGGGAGCAATTCCTGCGCAAACGCCCAGCGGGACTCTGTACGAGTGCACGTCCACGCTGTTCGCCACGTTCGCCAAAGTCTCCTGACTGGATGGCTGCCCTACCAGGCTGAACGCAAATTCAGGCTAAGTACAACAGGCTTGCTGGCCGTTTCCTGATGATAAATGTGCAGCCGGTTGAAGCTGCTTATATCCTATGTTCATTGCACTCAAAGCACACACAGCAGTTAGGTTTGGGAGGCAGGGCGTAGCAAAGCACTGGGGCGGGCCGCAAGGCTAAACCATAGCTCCAAACGACAATCTCGAGGCAGGTAGCATTCTTCGTATATCAAACCTCTTTGAATTTGCCATGCTAAACCAACAAGCGGCATGCCGACATCCACCAACTGTGTAGAATTGGTGCTGCCAGGGCTCACCCTGAATCATTGAAGGGATGTTGCAAGACATTTCGACAACCTGCGAAAGTCCAATCGCTTTGCTTCCGTCTTTTGTCGGTTCCCCGTGGGTGTTATGTAGACATGGGTTTCAGGATCCGTGGCAATCATTGCAATCATGACCACTGCATTTATTTGGAGGTAGGCTCATGGTGTCAGATGTCAAGTGGGCTTGTGTGGGAACCCTATCATGGACTCTAGTATCTATTATTTGAAACCTTATCGTGGTTTGATCCCATGTCATTTTACAGTGGACGCAACTTAATCCATACGCAAATCCTGCAAATATGAAACCTTATCGATCTGGTTTATTCCTTATCGTTTTACAGTAAATCTGCAAATAGAGCCGCCATGAGCCGCCCTTAATTACTAAAATTTCTACAACGGGGTTGTAAACCAAACCCAAGCGCTAGGAAGCATATCGGCGTGAGACCCGTAGCTTCGGCACATGTTCGTTTCCCACGCCTGTAGAACTCCAGCCTTGTAAGTGTTTCACCGACAGTTTTGGGTATAGTTTTCGGCCCCGGCATGTTGCACTGGGCCTCTTCCAAATTTCCCAATCAATGTAGCGGTAAGAGGATAACCAAGAAAGGAAACTCCTTCTTGGGTGTCAAGCTGCAGACTGGAAATTCTGTTCCATTCTGTTCCTGCTGCCGACTTCTGATGCTTCTTTGGATGTGCCAGCAAGCTGACGACGTCCCAGCTCCTTACAGTACTTACCACCGCCCGTGACAAGGCATCTTCAGATGCCTCCAGGCCACGGAAGATGTCGCCTTTTGCATCAGCGATTGTCTTGCCCTGCTCCTTGCAGCAAGTGCTTCATTCCGCGTGTATGGCCACAATCCCTCTTCATACATCCCTCTTACCCCCGTGCAATTCCAGTTTCAATTTCATCATGGTCCATTTGACTCTCCATCTCTTCAAAAAAAGAGTAGGCACAAAGCCGCGGGCAGTAACTCAGCACCTAACCACTCTTGAAACACCTCGATGGCACCGTTGGAGGCATTCTCATGGTGTTTTAGACGGCCACGACTAGTGGAAATTCACCAAGCCTGTCCTTCGTAAGCACTTGTGCAAGGGCTTCAGTGTTATCGCGGATCGCGCCCTCAAGCTTGTGCCTTGCCGCTTTACGCTTGACATTGGCTGTGCTGACCTATTCCCGCGGCTATATGCCTGGCACCAGTGAAGCTAAGTCTAAGCGTGGAGAGATGGCACACAGTCACAATCCGAGCTCTCAGTTGGAGAAACGGGAGTTTCCAAAAACATTGCACCCCCGATTACACTCCAAAATACTGCAACCCTTAATATGGGGGCCGGCCACAACAAAAGGTACCCATTCTTCCGGAAACTGCCGGCAAACACTGCTGTTTCCACGCAGCTGCATCACACGTGCACGGGTGCTTGGCGGCGTCCGTCTCCACGCCTCGCAAGGCGGAAAGTCTTCACAAACATGTCGACATGTAGTCTGGGAAGGTAGGCTGCGCCTTGAAGGCTTCTGCAGATGACTCCGCAGCTGACTGCAGCCTCACACGTTAGGGGAAGGGGAGTTGCAGCAGCCCTCTGCAAGTGGAAGTAGTTCAGGAAAGGACGCAATGCAGTCAGGCAGCTCCTCTTGAGTACACTGCGGGGTCCGAGCGATGAGCTCTCCTGGTCAGCCAAAGTTTGAAATCCCTACGAGTAGTTGTTGTTAGTCTCCCGCACAGTTTCTCTACAACGACCCAAAAAAACCCAACTTTTCAAGCAGACCATGCAGCTGCACAGCAAGCGTGTATGGAAGCAGCTCAACTCTGCGGCTTCAGAATCTGCACGAACATGCTGCCTTCAAAAACTAACAGGATGAAGCTGCCAAGCTTCCTGTCGCAGGGTTGTGCACATCAAAGAACGTTGAAGTCTTCGAGTGTACCTTCTTGCCGTCCACAACCATAGGCACCTGTGCCGCAGAACTTCATGGCAAACACATCAGTAATTTTGCTTCTCTCCCTCTCTCTGCAGCGGATTGCATGGAATGACCGTCCCGTTTGCTGATTAGGCTGAAGTGGCTAAAGTGTATCCGCTGCCGACAGCTGGGCATTTAAAGCGGACAACTCCATAAATCTCAAACTTAAGTTTCAAGACTGCAAAAAGGTGAGGTGCGCTAGCGGTTGTTGAGCGAGATGCTTGTTCCCTGCCCTTTGAATAAGGTTCTGGAGCCATGCGTGCTTCTGAACTTTCCATTGTCAATCCTGTTGGGTAAAGTTTGGATAAGGAGGCATGGCTGCTCTCTAGTCTGCTGGAAACTGTGAACACGTATCACCTAACACGTGGCTGTACGCCAACGCGGTTGGTGACCTTCCATCAGCAGCGACTTGGCCAAAACCCTGCCATCTCTTGAATAAATGTGCCCTGTTCATCTAATGTGGGAACCTTGCCTTGATGCAAGTGTTGCAAGGGAAGGGGCCTTCGGGCACCAAGAGAGCGATCAAGGTCCGTCAGGATGCTTTGATTGAATCGTTCCCGCGTATCGGAACCATTTGTTTAGCGCTGTTCATTCTGGTATCAAAGATGGCTACTGACCTTCGCAAGCGTGTGCACCAAGAGCATGTTGATCGTCACTCTGACAAGTACCCCTTTGATGGTAGCTGGTAGCATCTTGTAGTCCCGTTGCTACCCTCCTGGTCTCCAAGATCGGGCCCTGCCCCCACCCAGCAATCTGTTTATGGGATGCGAGTGCTCCTTCTTTATTTTGCGTTCTGATACTAGGGATGCTCAATCGTTCAAGAGAAGAGGGTACCAAAGGCGGAGCTGATTGAATGATTTTGGGGAGACCTCTGCAGCTGCGGCCATTTGCCGTGCAGCGCGGCGCGCGTTTAGCCGTAAAGGAGTCCATAGCGCCATCGCTAGTCCTGGAACAAGTCATCAATGGAGGCACGTGCGGGTCATGTTTCTTCTGGGGGTATGTACACATGGCTGATGGCTGCATCGGACGACACAGGGGGCCTCGTGTTGGTGGTGTATGTCGTCATTACTATGCCCGCAGCAAAGGTTAAGCACACCTCAATCCAACTAGAGTCCCTGGACCCGAGCCCAACTTAGCTCCCCTGATCACTTTGCAAGCCAAGGTGGGCCTGCAGTGAAAGCAGGCTTCGAGGGCGTGCCCAATAATCAGGGCTACGTGCGAGCTATGTGGGCTTCTCTCAGCCAAATGACATGTATGCACATACAATCTGTATGTACAGGTGGTGATGCATGTTCGGAATGGAAGTACATTATTTCGGGCATGCATGGCGTAACCGGCATGAATGCACAGCAGCAAAAGGCATAGGACACTTATGCCTTCATGAACCCAGGCAGCAGTTCATGTTTTGCTGCTGGATGCTTGCTTGGCTGGAGAACCTCCGCTGCAGCTGGTCGGATCTCTTCTTTTCTCCTACACGACCCACTCCAAGGCCTTACCCCAGCAAAGTTTGAGTCAATGCTTTCGAACATCAGTTGCATGAATACATGGCTTGTTCACGATGAAGTAGAACCTTGGCTTCGCAGGGTGCTACTTCAAATGCGTGTCTTTTCTTGAGGTGTTCCATGTTGATGCTTTTTAATCAGAGTTGGCCGAAATTACAACATCGGGCTTAAGCGCCTTTAATCAAGGTCAATCTGCCGATCCACTTTGTTCTGGCCAATGTCCAGCAGGCCGACATTCAAGTATAACAGCTGTCATCTGCCCAGAACCAGAAACTTAAATACCCAGACGAGCGGCACCGGCATCAGGACTTGGAGCAGGCGAAGGAGCCATACCTTAAACGGCCCAGGCACTTCTCAAGGATTCTCTCTCTCTGCCCCATGACATCCAGGTGCTGTCTATTGCAGACTTAAGAGATCCCAGATTGACAGGCCTCGCCTGAGTTGCAGCACTCTCAGAGGCCACTTGTTGTTCACCAAGGGGTTTGGAAGTCATGCCCAGTCAGTCTCAGTCTGTTCCAAATCGAAAGACGTGCGTCCACAGGAGCTACACCAGCTCTACTGCCCATGCAAACCGGATGAAACTACAGTTTCTTCGCTGGTAGCTTCGCAACCTCTGACCAACCCTGCGTACGACTGACTGAAATCATGGCAGGTCACGATCAGCTGCCAAACATTGGCCTTGCGGCTTGCGTACAACACACTGACTTGCAGTCTGCGCCCGCGTATGATTTACATTCGCTCTCCAGCCTGCACAGTGGAATGAGCACTGGGGAGCTGGTATGTGATGCCGTCCTGCAAGTTGCTGAGAGATCTATTGGCATGCTAACAGCCGGTTCAAGGCTGGGGAGCATGGATGGGCTTAGCCTGTGAGCAAGCCGCCATCATGTGGCCAGGAGCACAAGCCCAACTCCACCCCTGAGTCCTTGGAGAAGCGCATGCAGACCTTCATCTGCTCCAGCGATGGGATGCCTCAGCAAGTTCTCGGACAGAAAGCGCCCCCGCCCATGGGGAACCTGTGCTCCTGTGCCATGGAAACCACACGAGATGGTGGTCCCTGCAAGTTCTGTGACGAGAAGCCGTGCCCCTTCTGGGTGGCCTCAGCGAAGCAACTCGCGGGCATTATGTATGGAACATACATGCTGCCTTGACGAACAGCACTCACCCAAGCCTCGATCTGTTTATTCAACAAATTCTTGTACAGAACCTTTGAATGCAACTGTAACTGGAAACAGGTGTGGGGTACAAAAGTCAAGCGGCCAGCAGCGGCGTCCTTGGCCAAGGCAGTGATGCGTCTTGCATGTGCATGCAACATCCGCGAAGTTGAATTGTGTTCAGACTACGCCAGCACAAACTGCACTTCTGTAATTAATTCAGCCTGGCCTCTGCTCAAATGGGGAAATTCTGGTTTCCGCATTGCGAGAGGCCCCAGCGCTTTCCGATGCTCTGGTTGACTGGAGCCTGAGGTGAGGCATCAGATCATACTGCGAACAAGGATTGCCCCCCCCCCCCGAGCAGCTCAGCAAATATCCATATTCCGCTTCCTGGGACGTTTGTTGAACCTGGCTGTGGGACTAGATTCCGTCTTCTTATGACGTGCTAAAATGACCTCTGATGCTGCCGTTCCATTCGCAGCGCACAACTGCCGAGAACATCATGCTACAAACACGTCGTTCGGAGGAACAGCTTCCGGTTTTGGCAGTTACTTCAGTCAAGTGGGGACTATTAGTATTAGTATTATCATTAGTATTGGTAATATTACAATTATTCTTATTATTATTATTATTGGTAATAACTATGTGGCCATTTCGGTGGAAGTGCTGCCCACTGGTCCGACTGACATCCGCGGAACTCGGCAAAGAGTTTTGGTTTTTGACTCCGCTAGGTCACCCCCTGTCGACTTTCTCCAGCATCGGTAGAAGCATCGGCCCGGAGGTGCCCGAGGGCCAGCTTCGCACTGAAATCTTCCAGGAATCTGACCTTTGCCTCTCGGGTCTTGAGCTGCTGGAACTCAGCCAGGGGCAGCGTTAAAACTTTCCAGCCCTCTGCACGGAGATGCAGATGCTTCCTCAGCACAAACTCCCGGTGCCTGGCGCGTCTCCAGGGCGGATAGAGATGCCATCCTTCGTCCCACTCCACAACTATCAAACCCAGGGGATCGGCCAGCTCCAGCAAGTAAGGGCCACAAATAGTCGGGTACAACAGGATCCCAATCTTGTGGAAGAGCTTCGAGATCTCCCCGTAAACATGTGGCAGTTCAAGCATTTGGTGGTCTTCAGGGGGCTGTAGTTGCATTTCTCGGGCAGTGGAGAGGAGCTGCGCTGCAACGGGCGTCAAGGATTGGAGGATGCCCGGCCTCTCGTGCCGCAGTACAAACTCAATCAACTTCAGGCCTTCCAAATTCCTGGCTGCAGTGCTGGAGTCTGCTGGGCCTAGGTTGTAGCTTCGAGGCTGCCTGCGCAGAGCTGGTTCCCTAGCTTCAGCTGGGATGGATGGAGCCTTTGCTCGCGTACGCGGGGCACTGCCAGCCTCAATTGGCAAATGCAAGCGGGCAAGTCGGTCCAGCCAACGAGTAAGAACAGAGGTCTTCATGAGGTCATGCAGAAACATCGGAAGACCCATCACAAGAATAAGCTCCGGGTTGTTGAATCGCACATGCTTCAGTTTTAGTTGGTATATGGTATTCAACCTTTGCACAATACCGGGCCGTTCATGATACTTTGTGTCGACGACCATGTGCACAAAGCGGCCCATGCATTCGGCGTCCAAGTTCTTAAGGCCGGTCTTCATGATCTGACCAACCAGAACTGTCTTGAATTCAGGCCCTGCTTCTGGCAAAGACCCAATCGCTTCCAGGATGCGGACCTTCCTCCAGGCCCTGAGTGTTCGGTCTCTTTCAACAATTTCGCTCGTGGCAAAGTCCATGAAGCGTGTCTGCTTCACGCCGCGCTTCGCTGCGAGCTTGCCATAGGCGTAGACCACGCGCATGAGGCGCTCGTCGCTGTACTCCTTGGCTCGAAGGGCAAAGACTTTTAGTAGTTTCTGAAGCAAGGATCGATCCAGAGGTGCATCTGCCGGCGCGTATGCTAATGCCTGAAGAAGCCGGCAAACTTCTGATGGCGTCAGCTCACCTTCGCCTCCTAGCGCCACTATGGCATGCGGTAGATCTTGCCAAAGGCGAGCATTCGGTGAGACACCTACAGTTGCAGCACGCCCGACTGCCCAAACAAGTTCGTCTCTGGCCAAAGTCAATAGATTTACGCTTGACAACTCTTCGTCGCGTAGCGGTGCGGATTTTCTGGGCTGCGCTTCCTTCTCCTCTGCGCCAGGAGGCTCCCAGTCAATTCCTTCTGCCTCAAATGCCTCAGCCACATCCTCGAACAAGATCTCCCTCTCAGCTTCTTTGGCCCTAGCCTTGTCACGCAGTGGCTCCTCGCCGGCATCCTTCATATCCTGCTGGAAGGGAAGGTCGCGCCTGGCTGCAGGGTTCCATTTGCGCCCACGACCTCCGCCAGAAGATGCGCCTCAGACGGCAGGGGCACTTCTTCAGCCTGAAAAATTCGGGTTTCAATTCTGCTGTTGATGCAGCAGCGTCTGACTCACAAGCAACAAGTGAATACTGAACAGCTCAAGAACACAAAGGCGTCTGTGTCCCTGTGCGCAGAGGAAAAATGCACAGCAAGTGTGAAGAGTCCTGTCATTGAATCCTTGCCACAGCCAAGGTTGAAATGACCACCTATAAGCAGAAGGAAAGTCGACTTATACAGGTCCGCAAGTTGGGGACAAGCTGCTGCGGCAGGGCAGTCTGTAAATGCCTGCCAGGCCGGCAAGCTTGGAGCCAATAGGGCGGCAGCCGCGACAGAAGCGTGAAAGCGTCACTGCCGAACGTGTCGCCATGGCTGTCGCGCATTTGGTGCTTGGTGGAGCTTCATGGCCAAACTCACTTCCATGTCTTGAATTCTCAGGCTTCTTATGGCTGCTGCACCTGTTGGAAAGACACTCCGCCGCCATCGAACTTTTCACCACCGGTTGGTCTCCTACGACAATTGATGTGCTTGTGTTGTGCGGTCTCCGCTCTGGAGGCATCTCGAAGCATCATTGAAGGTGAGACTGACAAAGCAAATCCGGTGAAGAATCGTGCTTGAGTCAGGCGAGTTGAATTTCGGAGCCGCAACTGAACACAGGAGACGTGATTACAGGCCCAGGTGCCACAAGGTTGTTGCCATTTCTGCCAAGCCACGCCGTGGCAGTCAAGCGCAGCTGCCAAAAGTCTTCAGCAGAAGTGGCCTGGATTCAACTTGTTCGTGAATGGTGGAACCCAGTAAGATTTTCAGATCTTCTTATGAAACCCTATACCCAATGGGAAGTTGTGGTCTTACTTTATTTTGGGGACTGCCAGCGTCACTAGAGTAAAAAAAAGCAAGTCACTGGAGAATCCCCAACTTCAGGAGGAGTAGTGCCCCTGGCCCGCCAGGAGTTGAATGAACCACGGATGTCTGGTTTGGATTGGATTGGCCTTACAAACCATCATGTCCATACATTGGCATGTCCCTTACTGGTTTGCAGTTAAGGAAGCTAAATTTGCTTACCATAATGGGCATATGTAGTAACTAGCATGGTTTCCCCAATATAGTAACTTAAGCCAAGTTCCTCAACAGCAACCCAGATTATGGCGCCTTCGGGTTCACCACATCTCGCAGATCTATTGGGCACTGCGACAGCAAGGCCTTGGCCAGATGACAGCTGAAGCCTTCACAGCTTGAGCCCTCAGTAGGGTAATTCCCAAAACTAGGGTCCCATTTTGGTACCCCTAAATATGAGGCGCTGTACCATAATCTATAACCAAAAGGGGCCCATAATTTTAAGAACAACTCAGTAGCAAACCACGGCATAAGCCTTTTTTTGGTGTCAGCGTGTCCATGCAGCTTCATTCGCTCACGCGGGGCACTGCATTCTGCTTGGAGAGCAGTCGCAAGATCGCCTCGGAAGGTTAGAGATTGAACTCATTACCTTACAGAACTGTGATCTAACAATGTAAGTCCGAGGTTTGCCGTCCAAGCGCCAAAGCATCTGGCAATGACACGCGAAAGGAAAGCCATAGCTGTTCCACTTCTCCACGATGTGGATGGCATTGGAGACTGTGCCTGCGACCGTCAGCACTTGAAATGCTTCTCCGAAGTTGTGATTTTGGATGGACGGAAAGCCGATTGTCTAAACTACATGGGCTCGTGGCACCTGGCAGGTTCTGCTGTACGTAGGTGAGGCAGGAATCAGAATTTGCTAACTTGAAGATTCCGAGTTCAAATTGTGGAAGGTGCTAGGGGATGAGAGTGTGCTGAAATTTTGGGCACGGTGATTTTGCTATGCTTACGTTTGTTCATGACAACCTCAGGATCTCATTCATGATGCACTTGCCGCTGGCCTGCCAGTGCACCTGATGAAGCATAAATGGCCTAGTAGAGGAACAGACTGGTTCTAGATCATGAAGCCCATAGATTAAACGCCAAGTCCTGTGCAGCGTCGTGCACAAACGGCCCAACCACAACTGCCAGCTCGGCGGAGATCATTCAGACCCAAGTTGGCTTCAAAGAATTGTGTCAAAGCCATCCCAAACCTACCTGCTTTCCTAAAAACTGCTTTTCTACATGGGCCTGTATTGGAGCTGTTACACAAACCATGCAATGCAGTTTGAACAGGACTTCTTGACAGATATGCGAACACATGGCCCCGCCATAGAGCAGCATCACAACAGATATGCCAATCTCCAGAGCGATGATCGCAACTTCAAATCTGCTCGCTGTAAAGTCCTGCGTTGCAGACAAATGCAGAATGTGGCTACGTTGTAGCCCGCTCTGGTCCCCCAGCTCTACTCGGTCCTTTTTGTGCACTAGGAGCAGGTAGAGAATCATTGGCGTCATGAAAGCAATAACGGGAGTGAAGGTGCTGCCAAGCAAATTAACGAAGTCTGAAAAGAAAGGCACGATCTGGGCTAGAAGCCATGAAGAAGCAACCACGGTGGTCACCTCACATGACAAAAGAGTGTTGTTCCAGACGCAAGGAAAGCAACTGTTGGTAGGCATATCTGCCATACTAATAAGAAAGAACCTGACATCTCAACCATGCGGCCATGCAGTACCAGGCTGACCATGTGTTTCCAGATATGATGAGCTCACGCTTCTCGAACTCCCGCAGAAGACCCCGGCACAAGACGACGCTTTTGATCACCTTTCAGGGCTCTCAGACGGGAGGAGAAAGCAGGCAACATATCGATTTTGCGGGACATTGTGTTTCAGATTCCAAAGTGTGTCTCGCACCAATGTCTTGGCAGAGGCATTTGCCGGGGTGGGGTGCCTTGTCAACTAGCGTGGGAGGGCATGTTCATTTCCAACACGCTTTTGACTACTCCTCAGGTGCTGGAGCCTGAAATGATGGACCATGAAGTGTGGTTGGCAAATGTGGTTGACCCCGAATTGCTTGTTTCAATGGTCCGTCTTTTATCTTTCGGTTGCAAATGCGTGCACAGGCCCTTGAAATACCGGCTTCATCTCTTCAAGCGCAAGTTGAGAAGGGATGTTGCTAAGGGCGAGATGTACACTTGGACATGTTTCAGGAAAAAAGAGCTTACTAGCTGTGACTATTCAGACTGGAGGTCTGCTGAACAGGTGCTATGGCTGCTATTGCCCACATGTACGACGTCTCTACAGAGGACCAGGCGGGTATCCCCGTCAACCCGCTCACCACTCGACCCCTTGCTGCAGCAACAGCAGACGAGGGTGACATTTGCAACCACAAGATTTGCAAATCATGCTGGTGCCATTACTGGCGAAAAAATGAGCAACAATGACTTGTGCTGCTAAGGTCCAGACATAAGTGATCAGTATGTGTCCTACGAGGCAGATTGCGGCATATTGCTCTGCACCGCCAAAAGGGATCTCATTGACGATCATCCCAGAAGCAGCATCACCTGTCCAGCACGTTCTCCCTACGCACAGGATTCAACCAGACAAGGACTCCTGTCGCGCAAGCTGCCTTCTATGGTTGGGGATTCCAATTTGCGAATTGGTGCAGCTTGCGTTGAATGCGCAGAAGTGCAAAAGCCCTTGCAGCCTCGGAAATAGTAGACGGACAGGCCAACTCCCAGAAAGGCGATGGCTTGGAAGGGCAAGGAGTAGTTGAAGTAAGCCTGTCGTGATGACAACCCAGAAGCTGGTGCTGGTCTGCTACACCATGCAAGATGGCCACTCAAGTGTCCCACCCATCTGTATTTGAATGTTTGTGCCAGTATGCCATGCAAACTTACTGGCATGTGAATGGATTCCGAACAAGGCATTGCATGGTTCCTCCCCTAATTGATGCCTTCGGAAACTCGCTCATGTCCTGCATTTCCGTCATGATTTCTACCAGGATAAACCTCGGTGTCAGGTTCAAGTTGTTGCGTATGCGGCCTGACCATATTTCAACAGCATAGTCCATCTGCACATTATAGCAGCAAGTGCACGCATGACTTCCGCTATCCGAAGCCTGCAGGTGCACCTTCCTTTCCGGCAGTTTGGGAGCCGTTCTTTCTGTGGTCCACTCCCCCCTCCTGTAGCCAAGTCACTGTCCAGAGAATGCAAAGGCAAATGTGCATGCCTCCAGCTTTGCACGCATGGAGGAAGCTGCGCCAGCGAATCACTGCACTGTCAGCGCAAGCTGCTGTCAGAACTGACTCGCTATGGGTCTGACTTTTAGCAACCCCTGAAAAACCCTGTCATTGCCCATGGCTGCTCAGCATTGTCCCTATCATGGTTCACGAGTTCAACCTCGTTCGCTTGCTGAACCTGACCAGGCGCTAGGGACTCCGAAGATGGCCCGCGCAAGGTATGTCAGATCAAGCCCACTCATGCTGCAGTGTAGGCAAGCTACTGAGGTGACCAGGGAGTCGAGGCTCAGTTGAGTCCTTCACAAGAGTGGCTTCTCTGGCTGTGCTTCCTTCAATCGAGATCTGTGTATATTTGAAGTTTCCAGGTTTTGGCCAGCGGGTTCCACAGCTACTTCAGCGTCAAGATATTGTTGGCACGCACTAGGCTGACTCACTTGCAGCAGGCAAGATACCATCAACTGAGCGAACACTGTTCTGCTTGGAATCACCCCGGGGCTAGCGGCTAGCAGATTGCATACAGGACCAACATCATTTAAGGCACCTGGTCCTTACATGCGAGGTATCTGGCAAGGTGAGAATCTGCTACACGTTCTGGCACAAGCCCCGGCGTTGTGAACAACAAAGGGTAGTTGCGGGCGGTCCGTTCAAAGAGGAAAAACCTCTCAGGCTTTGAGAAAAAACAGATATCAAGACTGCAATCACGACACCATTGGCTTGTAGACGTTCGGGGCTCCTCACCTCACTCAACTGACCCCTACCCCACGCATTCCCAGGAGCATTTTCGCCAAGAATCGCCACTGCCCTGAACTCGCTGTTCGGCGGTCGAGTGGCACTAGGGCCTGATGCTGCGCCGTTTCGGCATTTAATGCTGGGCTTTACCATGCAATGTTGCGCAATGCAACAGGAAAGCTTCAATTTATCAATTCTAGACTAGTTTATGTCCCCAGCTGACGGAACTTCAGGAACTGAGCCGTTGCCGGTTTGGCCCCATTTAAGAACCTGCTGTGACCCAAACAGAACAGCAAGTTGCCTTGCATAGCCATCCACACGATCGGAATCAAGACGGTGCCCACCTGCCCCAAATGTGGCAACACGCAGAACAAACAAAATTGCAGGGGTCCAACGCAACAGGTGGGCAAACCCTGTATACAAACTGCCTCGCCGACCCCACAAAGCAGAAATCAGAAAGAAGAGGTCGCTTGCAAACACCATGAAAAGAAAAGGATACCAGGTGACGCCGGCATGCGGTACAGGCACAGTTGAAGGACACAGAACCAGCGAATGAACCCAAAAAGCGCGCAGAAAGGTTCCTGAGCGAAAGACATTCTTGCTGCCTCACCGCTGGCTGGTTGAACCACACGTTGTGCAGAAAAAGCGACGCTGGTTTATATTGCTACCATCCACTGACCATTGTCCGAGTTGAGCACTCTTAGCTTCGATTGGGGCTAGCACTGGAGTCACTAGAAGACTCTTTCAAAACTTCTGCTACGAGGGAACTACTTGGCTGGCGTGCTTCTTGCCAAAAAGCAAACTCCCATCTGCAATGCATCATTTTCATCTTGGATGTCCTGGTTGCAGGTAGGTAGCAGAGGCATAAGCATCATACAGCCCACCATCGTCATGACGGGCAGGCACACGTGGAAATCATAGAAAAACCTGAAGCTTCAGAAAAGTATTTCGACTCACTCTATAAACATCCAAACCCATGCCCATGACACTCAACGCTGTCTACCTCCGTTCCAGCCAAAAGCTTGGGCTGGAGTTTGGGGTGGCATGGTTGGCCCTGCTACTTTCCAACTAATGAATTAGCCATGCAGCATTCCCAGTCCCTGGCCAATGCTCAGCGTGTACAAGCCGAGGGTGCAAAAGACGTAGGTGTACTGACCGATCACCCTTGGTGAGACAAGCACTTATGTTGGGGTTATAGGGTAATGTTGGCGTAATACTGGAGTAATGGAAAAAAAGGAAGCTACTAGTACTATAGTATAATAGGTAGTATTATATGCATATATATATAATTATATTGGGGTTACATACATACTCTAGCTCCAGAAGATTTGCTCCGCCCAATTCGACAGCCAAAGGTCACAATCTCCTGTGCCGGTTCCAGACGTTCAGGCAAAGCCCGGGCAAAGGTCTGTCGCACCAGTTCTTTGAAGCTGTGAGCTTCCTAGGTTCCATTCAGAGTGACACAAGTGTCCCGGTGCTTGCACATGGCTTTGATGCGCGGCATTGGACAGAAGCCTCTGTACGGACCTGCGTGCGGAGAGCTGGAGCAACACCTGCAAAAAGCTGTCTCATCTGATGTAGCCAGGTGTCTGGAAAGCGCATGTGCACCTTCACAGCTGACAAAAGCTTGTAACAGCCGTGATCACTGCGAGGCTCTGCCGAAGCGCGTGCACACAACAGGGACTTGAAAAAAGTAGCCAAGCGGCCCTCCACACCAGGATCATGATGTGGGCATTCATGGCCAGCATTGCTACGATGCAGATGGTGCCGAAGAGCCAGCCAAGGCTAGCGACAGCTTGACCTAAACCAGCGCAGACTTGCTCGGGAGCTTCATGTGCAGGACCATCCTACTGTTAGCATCATGAAGGCATGCCCGGATGTCGATTCGAGCGCAGGTTTTGGATGAGCGGTCTTGAGTGGTCTTAGGTTATCAAGATATATGAGACAGCAACAAGACACAAACTTTCCATCTGCTGGAGCCAGTTCATTGATATAAGCTCCAAACATGGCAAGGAAGAATCCCTTCCGCTGCAGCCCGTTATGACAATCCATCAATGTTGATGAGGTTCCCAACATTTCCCAAGGAATACCATGAAAAAAAGAGCCCTTCCGAATCAAGTACTCAGGCAAGACTCCCATGGCCAACACCCCAGCGCCAACCACATCTGCGATCAAAAGGCCCGCCTTAGCTCCATGCAGGGAGGGTCACAATCCTCATGCCTGCATGCCATGCCACACATCTAAGTTTCCAGAGGTGTGGAGATCCTTCAGCTAGCAACCCTCCGCTTGTGATGATGCATGGATGACGTGCTCCGCTAGTAACCGATGCCGAGCGGCGGTGAGGAGTGCTGAGTTGCCATGGATGCGACCGCCTTCGGGGTCCGTGTCCTTCCTGTGACTGAGGACTTGTGATACAGCTAGGGAAGCAGGTAAGCTGCATCGCAGTTGATTCGAGCATCAAGTCGGATGTGATAGTACCACGCAATATCAAGCATTCCCAGCAACGTTAATGGGCTCGCATGGCACAAGGAACCCTGCAGCCGAACCTGGCGATGGGCACAGAGCCATAGTCCGCCTCCGGGCGCAAAACCCAGAACTGTTGGTGTGACAGATGCAACTAAAGGAAAGCTTTCACAAGAGACACCCGGCCCGGCGCCGCTTGCTTATCCCCACGCAGGCCTGCATGTTGGCTTCAGCCAACCACGGACGTCTGCATTCAAGAGAGGGAATGTGGGTAGATTCTGCTAAGCGGATGATGGCAAGAGCTTTCGGCCAACATGGCTGCGGAGCGCGCCAAGTTCTACAACCAGACGCCCCTGGACCCGAAATGATGCAGCTATGTCAATGACCGGCTGACTTGACACTTTGCGGTTTCAATGTAATCCGCATTGAATTGTGAGGTACATATAAGGAACTTGGGGTTGTGTAAAAGCCTCGTATTAGATCCTTTATAACCATTAACCCCATCGTTTGTTCCCCACCCTTGCAGTGGGCTTGTTAGATTTTGAAGTAGATGTTGTCCTCGCCCGACTGGAAGCTGATTTTAGTGACCAACCACCAAAATCCCTGCAGCCAACCGCAGAGTATCCCTGCAGTTCCCAACCACCAAGTATCCCTGCAGTGCCCAACCAATGAGTATCTCTGCAATGCCTAAAATGGATGTGCCCAACCGCAAAGTGCCCAACCACCAAGTATCCCTGCAGTGCCCAACTGCGGAGTATCCCTGCAGTGCCCAACCACCAAGTATCCCTGCAGTGCCCAACCACCACGTATCCCTGCAATGCCCAACCGCAGAGTCTCCCCAACCACCAAATATCCCTGCAGTGCCCAACCAATGA